CAGTCAAGTTTACACATAGCTTAGAGTGGTGGTGTCACAATTTAATCCATGGTATCAAACTAAAGCAGTCAGACATAAAATACTACATAGTATTCCATTTGTATGAATTTCTAGAAATTACAAAATTATAATGACTTATAAAACAAATCAGTAGTGTCTGTGATTGGAAGAGAGAAATCAATTATCAGTGAGGACATTAGACATTTTTTTAAAGGCTATGAGGATGTTCCATATCTTGATGCAGTGGCAGTTGCACAACTATATGTTAATACCAAAAGTCATCAAATGAGTTGTTGTTGTTTTTGTTATGTGCCATTGAGTCACGTGCAATTCACAGCAACCATTGTACAACAATTCTGAAGCCTGCCCTGTCCTGAGGCAGTCTCACTGACTCTTAACACATCTACCTCTTTTGCCTCAGTTCCTGTATCAATACATCTTATCCAGAGTCTTCCCTGTCCCTCCACCCTTCCAAGCATGATGTCCTTCTCTAAGGACTGGTCCCTCCTGGTCATGTGCTCAGACTATGTGAGATAGAGCTTCAAAATCCCAGCCTTCCAGGAAAAACTTGGTTTTACCCACTCCAAGACAGACCTATTTGTTTTCTTGGTGGCCCATGGTATGTTCAAGACTCTTCTCCAACACTACAACTCAAAGACATCAGTTCTGTCATCCTAGGTCTTTGTCCAGCTCTCTGATGCATAGCAAGTAATTGTGAAGACCATCACTTAGATAAGGTCACCTTCGTCTGTAGACTGACATCGTTGCTTCCCAGTACTCCAGAGAGGTCCCCGATAGCAGATTTTTCCAGTGCAATACATCTTTCAGTTTCCTGACTGCTGGTGCCAAGCATGTTGATTGTGGAACCAAGCAAGCTATAATTGTTAACAAACTCAATCTCTTCTCTATCATGATGTTGCAAATTGGCCCAGCGGTGTCTTCTTGATATTGAGCTTCAATCCATGTTGAAGACTACAGTCCTTGTAGCAAGTGCTTCAAGTCCTCCTCAGTTTCAGCAAGCAAGATTGTTTCATCTACATGATGTAGGTTGTTGATGAGTCTTCCTGCAATCCTGATGTCACATTCCTCCTCATAAAGCCCAGCCTCCTGAATGATCTTTTCTACATATAGATTGAAACGGTATGGAGACAGAATGAATCCCTGATGCACTCCTTTCCTGATTTTGAACCACGCAGTGTTTCCTTGCTCAGTTCTGAGGACAGCTTTCTGGTCAAAGTATAGGTTTCCATAAGCACAATGAAGTGTACTGGAATTCCTGTTCTCTTTAAGGTTAGCCATATTTTGTTGTGATCCACACAGTCAAATGCCTTTGCATAGTCAATGAAACACAGATAGACATTCCTTTGATACTCTGCTTTCTGCCAAGGTCCATCTGACATTGGCAATAATGTCTTTAGTGCTACAACCTCTTATAATCCCAGCTTGTATTTCTGGTAGTTCTCTGTCAATGTACTGTTCCATTCATATTTGGATAATTTTCAGCTGGATTTTGCTAGTGTATGATATTGTTCTATAATTTCCACACTCTGACAGGTCACCTATTTTTTTTAATGGGAATAAATATAGATCTCTTCCAGTCAGTTTGACAGGTAGCTGTCCTCCAGATTTCTTGGCATTAACTGATGAGCACGTCTAGGGCAGCATATATTTGTTGAAATATGTCAATTGGTACTTCACCAATTCCTGGTACCTTAGTTTTTTGCCAAGTCCTTCAGAGTACCCTGCACTTCCTTTTATCATCACCATTGCCTCTTGATCCTATGTTGGTTTTGCATAGTCAATGAAACACAGACATTTCTCTGGTACTTTGCTGTCAGCTAAGATCCATCTAACATTGGCTGTAATGTCCTGAGTGCCATAACCACTTGTAAATGTAGCCTGTACATCTGTTGATGTACTGTTCCAGTCATTTTTGGATCATTTTCTACAGAATCTTGCTTGCATGTGATACTAATGATATTGTTCAGTAATTTCCACACTCTGTCAGAATACCTTTTTCTGGAATGGGAATAAATACGGATCTCTTCTAGTCAGTTGGCCAGGTAGTTTGTCCTCCAGATTTCTCACAACCCGGTGAGCACCTCCAGGGCAGCATCTGTTTGTTGAAATATTATCAATTGGTGTTCCATCAATTCCTGGAGATTTGGTTTTCGCCAAACTCTTAAGAGTAGCTTGTACATCCTCCTCCATCACCATTGATTTTATTGGTATTATAAAAGAAAAAAAAGGAGCAATTTGTGCAAAGGCTAGGATTCAAGAGTGTGTGATGATTTAAAAGAGGACTTTCATGCAAACAAAAACCACTTTAAAGTGGCTGAGGAGAAGGAGTTGCAAAAAACTGGAAAGGAAATTATTAGCCACCTCCTCAGGGACACATGGCATATAATGATGTATTGTCTTGATCTCAGAACAATGCCCATAAGCCCTGCTGGACCAATTTACTCTGTATTGTAGTGTTGCTGTGACCCATAATCAGCCATGACATCAGGTAGATTACAAATTAAAATTTTCAGTTGTTTCTCTATAAGGAGAGAACTTTTCCTTTATTGGATAAAAAGAGGAATATTCAGGGTCTAATTCAGTAGAAAATCATTACAGTGACTTTTTAAACCCATAATAAGAGATCAATATTATTTATATACCAATTATAATAATATCCTTTCTTCATTAACACTTATTTTTTCATTAATACTTATTTATACTTGTTTCTACATTTAATTTCTTTCCAACCTGTTTTTTAATATTTTAAACCATTTCTAGAATATAGTTTTCTATTTTAAAGCATATCTATATGTATCTTTCAAGAAGCCCAATAAAAATGCTTCTAAAACTTTAATGTTCAATCTATTTCATGATACTGTTGTTGCTGTTGTTGTTGTTGTTGTTGTTGTTGTTGTTAGGTGCCATCAACTCAAGTTCAATTCATAGTGACCCTGTGAACAACAGATCCTAGGTCCTCTGCCACCCACATTATCTCTTACACGCTTGAACTGGTTGCTTCAGTCACCATATCAATACATTTCATCAAGGGTCTTCATCTCTTTCACTTTCCTTTCACATTTTCAAGCTTGGTAGCCCTCTCCAGGAAATAGCTTCTCCTAACAACATGCCCAAGGTATGTGAGATGAAGTTTTGCATCCCTTGCCTCCAAAGAGCTTTCTGGCTGCGCTTTCTCCAAGACATGAGTGTTTGTTATTTTGGCAGCTTATGGGACATTCAGGACATTCAGTATTCAGATATTAGGTAATCACCAAAAGTTTTGACTGGAAAATCTCTTGAGCACAATGACCAGTTATTAGTGCAATTCACATTAATAACATTCCTCAAAATAAGTAACACAAGCTCACTTACTGCTATTGAGTCATTTCCAACTCATAGCTTCCATAAGGTTCAGGAGGCTGTACATCTTAGCAGAACATTGTTTTTATGGTGGTGGTGGTGGTGGTGGTGGTGGTGGTAGTGGTGATGTACCATCAAGTGAAAACCAACTCATAGCAGACCCTCCAAGTAGGTTTACAGAGGCTGTAAATAACAGGGAAGGAGATTGACCTTCTTTCTCCCACAGAACAAACCGGTGGATTAAAACAACCTGCCTTTGGTATGGCAGTGCAATTCCTTACCTGCTAGGCCACCAGAGCACCTAACAGGAGGAGACCACTCACCTTCCTGCCTCAGAGCTTCTGGTGGATTCCAACCGCTAGAGAAGAATGGCCTTTGGGTTAGCAGCAAAAGTTCACTGGCCTTTTTGGTTACCTATAACTCATCTTGATTTGCCTAAGTCTAAGAGATGAATATTTGTTTTAGTTTTAAATAATATGTATATAATAAAGTAATAGAAAATGAATTTTGCTATTGAAGAATTCTATTTTTATTATCGCAGTGTTAATATTCATAAGCATCAAGCTCATGTATGAAATTCATAGTTTTCTGTTTTCTCACTTTTAACCTAGTTAAAAAATATTTCTGTCTACACCTAGCAACTGTCCAAAGTGACTTGTTAGATTTACTTTTTTTTTTTTTTTCATGATGCCATCAAATTGATGTTCTTATTTTTGGTTTATTTTTCCTAACTGGGACCCAAAATGGCATATTTTAAAAAGTGATATTTCTGTGTTTTGAGAAAAAAATACTGATAGGACTTTGTTGTTAATGCTATCTAATTCATTTTCTAATGATGGTGACTCTGGATGACAGAATGTTATTGTGTGTTGTCAAGTTGGAACCAACTCAAAGTTGACCCTTCAGCAAGTTTTCAGAGACAGTCAATCACACAGGAGAAGATTTGCTCATCCTTCTCCTGTGGAGCAGCTGGTGGATTTGAACTGTGTGCCTGTGAGATTGTAGACAGATTCTTACCACTAGGCCAACTGGCCTATAGAGTTTATTGCAGAAGATCCCTAAGTCTTTCTCCTTTGGAGCTCTCACTCACTTATGCAGTCCTGGTGATTTAGAACTGACTCTTAGCTGACCTTCTAGAAAGATTCAAGGCTACAGATATAGAAGGAGATTGCCCATCTTTCTCCTGAAGAGCCACTGGTGGATTCGAACCACCAAAGGGGCATGGCTGTTGGGTTACTATATCAAATCCCTGTGGACTACATACACCACTAGAGCACCCTCATGGAACCTCTGGGTTCAAGCCACTAACTTATTAGTAACCTTGTGCTTAGCTCTCATTATTGACTCATTATTAAGGTAGATTATTTTTATGCTCAGCTTAATGACAAGTGAGAAGCACAATTACAATTATACAGCATAGAATGGAAATGTTTGTAAAAGTAACTGATAAATAAACGTAGATCACTTCCTAATTTAGGAAACATTTGTAAAGTTTGTGAATGTTACTGGTTTTATTTTCAAATTAAGTCAGGGAAAACTATGACCAAATTTTATTTCGCTTTCTGATATGAGCATAAATATAAATATGATTCCACAAAGCCTTATTACCACACAGCCTAAGAATATTCTGCTGTTTTCAGAGGAAGAAGCTGCTCCAGATGGTGCTGTTGCAGAATACAGAAAAGAAAAACAAAAATATGAAGCTTTGAGAAAACAACAGCCAAAGAAAGGAACTTCTCGAGAAGAACAGGTAGCTTCAAAAATAAAAAATTGTACAAATCTGTTGCCTTTGCATTGTATTGAAATGTTGTGTAAGTGGACCTTAATTTGATTCTACATCAAGACAAGTATTTTTTTAAAAATGAAAAGGAGTCTGTAGGATGAGCTAACAGGGAACTAGACTTTCTATGCAAAGACCAATATTTTAGTCTTTTCAGATACTTTAGACAAATAGCAAGTCTAAAGCTATCATGTTTCAATTATCTACTCTTATTTCAAGCACAGGAAATTTTTTGAACCACGTATCAAATTCTCAAGTAGAACTTTTGTCAAGGTAAATAGGAGGAAGTGGAGGAGTGGTGATTGTAAATGAAGAGAAGGTCTCCTTCCTGCCTTATTTCTCATGTCCTGAATAGCTAGCTCAGCATGAATCATGCTGCCTGGAAAGAAAACACTTCATCTAGTCTACTTGCACTCTAGTAATATTACGAATTGATGCTTATTACAAGTCACTCCTGAATCTTTAAGTAAGAGTATTTAAAAAGTTATCAGAAATAATGAAAAGAGACAGGAACGGGTGGAGAGTCATCAGCATATCCCTATAGCACTTAAAACAAAAAAGACAAATCTCTTCAGCAGCCTTTCATGTTTAAAAGTTAGCAGCAAAATAGAAGAATAACTAGGGAAACATGTACAGGAACTCAAGAGGGGAGAGTGGGAAGCAGAGGGGTGAAGATAGGTAGGGGTGAAACCACAGGGCTGTAGAGTTTGGTGGGTTGGAGGGACAGCAAAATCTCTGCTGCATTGTAGATGTTGGTGCTTCACACAAAGCCTATGTGATTGAAAAAGGCCCTATTTGAGTTGAAGCTAATCTAAAACAAAAGGTGTGATCAAAAAAGGTCAAATGCATAGTTAATAAAAGATAAATAGATATTCTTTGGGATTCTTTGCTTTCAGCTAGGATCTACCTGATATCAGCAATATTATCCCGGTGCTACAGCCTCTTCTAAACCCACTGATTTTTTTTATTTTCAGCAATATTTTGCTTGCATCTGTTAATGATATCTTTCAATAATTTCCACATTCTGTTGGATCACTTATTTTTGGAATGTGAACAAATATATACCTTTTACAATCAGTTGGTCATACAACTGTCCTCCCAGATATCCTGGGATAGACTGGTGAGCCCATCCAGGCCCGCATCTGTCATTTGAAACATTTCAGCTTGTTTCCCATCAATTTCTAGGGTCTTTATTGGGGGGGGGGGGGTTTGTTTTGTATTGTTTTGTTTGCCAGTGCTTTCCATGCAGCTTGAGCTTCTTCCTTCATTACTATTGGCTCTTGATCATAAACTTTCCTGAAATTTTTCCATGTCAACCAATCCTTTCGGTACAGTGACTGTGTATTCCTTCCATCCTCTGTGGTTGCTTTCTAGATCATTCAAAATTTTGCACTTAATATCTCTCAGTATTGAGGCTTGAATTAGTTTTCATTTCTTTCAGCCTGAGAAATGCCAAAACGAATTCTTTCTATCTTCCAACTCTAGCTCTTTGCACATTTTGTTATACTTTGTTTTCTCAAGCTGCCCTTTGAAATCTCTCCATCTCTATTATGTCTATATATCTCCCCTTTGTTTTGACTTCTCATTGCTCTTGTTCTCATTGCTCTATTTTCAAATTCACTTTTGACATCTGTTTGTCTTTTCTTCCTCTGTCTTTTTAACAACATTTTGCTCTCTTCATGAATGATACCTTTGATGTCATCCCATAACTCACCTAGTTCTTGATTGTTAGTATTCATTGCCTCAAACTTATTCTGGAGATTATTTTTAAATTCATGTGAGATAGATTCAAGGTCATTTTCTTCATTTTCTTCAATTTCAACTTGAAGTCACACATAGGTAATTGATGGTCTATTCCATAGTCAACTCCTGGCCTGCTTTCGCTGCTGTTACTGAGCTTTTCTAACAATTTGTTCCACAGATGTAATCAATTTGATTCCTCTAAAGTCTGTTAGGTGAGGTCCATGTGTGAAATCACCTTTTGTATTTTTTCCAAAAGGTATTTATGAATGGGTAACTAGATGTACAAAATTCAGTCATTTTATGTTTAGCCTCGTTTTTCTCACCAAGACCATAGTTCTGACTGCCATTTCTTCCTCACTGTTTTCAACTTTTGCATTCCAGTCACCAGTAATTATTGCATCTTGATTGCATGTTTGATTTATTGGAGCATAATTCTTTATAGTATTGTTACTATCCGTACTTTTTTAGTTGGTTCTTTTGTAGCATTACCCACTTCATTTAATATTCATATTATTTGTGTATTCTCCTTTTCCTTTGTTAGAGTTGCTAGTAATTTATTGATTTTTAAAGTTTATAACTAAGGAATAAGCTTATAGTCTTGTTGATTCTCTTGTCTGTTTTATTTCTTCTCCAGTCTGTATCATTTACTTTCTTTTATTTGTTGTAGAGGTATTTATTTTGCTGCTCTTTTTCTAAATATTGGATATGTTACCTTAGGGTCTTGCTTTTGGTCCTCTCTTGTTGCTGTAGAGTTGAAACCAACTCACTGCTGACACTCCACTGGGTTTCCAAGGCTGTAAATTACAGGAGAGATTACCCATCTATCTGTCTGAGCTGCTGGTAGATTCTAATCACTAGAGTGCAGCATCTGAATTAACAGCACAATAGTCCATAGTCCCTATGAACTGTACTACCAGAGCTTGCTTGATTTTAGTTATTTCTTCTTTTTTTTTAAATGTATGTGACCATTGCTATAAATTGCCCTCTAAGCACTGCTGTTGCTGTGTCCCAAAGATTTTTGGAATGTTGTGTTTTCACTCTAATTTGATTCAAGAAATTTTTAAATTTCATTTTTTATTTCCTCTGTTATCCAGTAGTTTTTAAGTAGAGTGCCATTTTGTTTCTATGCACTTATTTTTCATTGATCTTCAGGTTGTTGATTTGTAATTTTATACTAGTTTAAAAAGATGCTTTGTATTTCTATTTTTAAATTTATTAAGACTTTCTTTATGAGCCTATGTATGGCCTATTCTGGAAAATATTCCCTATGCACTAGAAAAGTGGTCTTGTTGTATGGAGTGTTCTATATATGTGAGATCAAGTTGATTTATTATGGTTTTTCGGAGTCATTGTTGAATTTTTTTCTACTTGTTTTTCCCTTTATCAAAAGTGGAATGTTAAAATTTCCTGGTATTGAGAATTGTCTGTTTATCTTTTCAATTCTGCTGAAGTTTGATTTGTGTACTTTGTGGCTCTGTCACTAGGTATGTAGATGTTTTGGGTATGTTCTCTTGTTCAATTAATCCTTTCATGATTATATAATATCTTATTTTCCTCTTCTGTGGTTTTTCACTTTGAAGTCTGTTTTATCAGGAATTAGTATGCCACTCTAGTTTTTTTTAATTGCTGTTTGTTGATAAGTTTTTTTCTACCCTTTTATTGTTAATTTCTTTTTATCTTTGTATCTAAGTATATTTCTTGTAGTCAACATATTGATGAGTCATGTTTTCTTACCAATTCTGTTAGTCTTCCTACAGACTAGACCACTGTTGTTGTTATGTTGCCATGAAGTCACCTGCAACTCATAGCGACCCCATGTACGTTAGCTCTGAACCCTGCCCAATCCTGAGCCAATCTTGTCATCTCTGACAGACCTAATCCCATTTCTCCAATCACTAAGTCAGTCCATCCTGGGTCTTTCTCTTCTGCACTGACCCCCCCCCCCCAAGCATGATGACCGTATCCAAGGCCAGGTCCCTCCTGGCCACGTGCCCAAAGTGCATGAGATGGAGCCTCAAAATCTTTGCCTCCAGGGAGCAGCCTGGTTTTTCACCCTCTCTAGAACAGACCTGTTTGTTCTCCTGGCAGTCCACGGTATATTCAAGACTCTTCCCCACCACCACAACTCAAAGGCACGATCCTTCTTCTGTTGTCTTTAGTCATTGTCCAGCTCCTAGATGCATAGCAAGTAACTACAAAAACTATGGCCTGGATCAGGCACACCTTAGTCTCCAGACTGACAGACAGTGTTGCTCTTAAGTACTCTAGAGAGGTCTCTGACAACAGACTTTGCCAATAGATATCATGTGACTGATTTCATAGAATATTTTAAAATTATAGTGTTAAAATTTCTTTGTCTTATATAATTTTCTTTGTTGAATTCATTTTATTTATGTATTTTAATAATTTTCTTCTTTGCTATTGTTTTAGTGTTTGTCTTTTCTATTCCCTGTTTTCCATTTTGATCATAAAGTGTGTTAAATTTTTTTAATGTTACCTTGTGACTTAGTATCTTTTAGAATTTAAAATTATTCATTTTGTTTGAAATCCTCTTGACTTCCTCTGTATTGGAAGTTCTATAGCCACAATATTTTCTCCTCTCTTTTTGCTTTATAGTTGTTCTACATTGTTGTTTATATTTTGCTCTGTTGGAAAATGTTGTTGTTGTTAAGTGTCGTCAAGTCGCAGGCGACTCATAGTGACCCTATGAAGGAGAGTCCTCGACGCTTGGGTGCTTTTCTTCCTCTCTCCAGGTTCATAGGGTTTCTGGAGGCAAGCTATTATGGAAGTGGATGCCACTCCTCCTTCCAATGTTGGAAAATAACTTAAGTAGAAAAATAATATTTTTATGGGCGGTTTTTCCCAGTGTAGTGAACATTAAACTGGATTCTATGGGGGTGGGGGAATGGTATCAGGATTGGAGAAAGACTCAAAAGTCTACGTTATGCAGCTAACACAACCTTGTTTACTTGCTAAAAGTGAGGAATAGTTAAAGTGCTTGCTACAGAAGGTCAAGGACTATAGCCTTCAATATGAATTGCATCTCAACATCAAGAAGACAGAAAACTCTTAACCAGCTGACCGATAAGCAACATCATGATATATGGAGACAAGATTGGACTTACCAACAATTTTATCTTTACTTGGATAACAGTCAGCATCCTTTGTACCAGTAGTCAGGAGATCAGGAGTTGTATTGCACTGGGCAAGTCTGCCATCAGAGACCTCTCCAAATTTCTGAAGAGCAGTGATTGCAGTTTGAAGACTTAAGGTGTGCCTGATTCAGGCTATAGTCTTTTAAATCACTTGCATTGCATATGAGAACTGTATAATGAATAATGTTGAAAGAAGAATTGATGTTTTTGAGCTATGATGTTGAAGAAGAGTATTGAATATCCCATCAACTGCCAAGAAGAATAAACAAATAAGTCTTGGTGAGAGTGTAGCCAGAATGATCCTTGGAGACAAAGAAGACAAAGTCTTGTCTCACATACTTCGGGCATGTTACTAGGAGAAGCTATTCCTTAGAGAGGCACATTGTGCTCGGAAAGGTGGAGAGTCAGTGAAAGAGAGGAAGGCATTCAAAAATATGGATAGACATAGTGATTGTGGCACTGGATGTCAGAGATAATGAGGATGGCACAGGATATCCTAGATCTGTTGTTAATTGTGTCACTATGGGTAGTACTATATTTTACAGCAACTAACAACCAAAGTAACATTACAAATTTAACTATTAATAACTGTGAAATTTAGAGTTTAATTTTCTTCTATAGAAGGAAATGTGTGTTCTCCTATTCAAAACCTGGTCTCCCTATCAATCAGTTGAAAGAATATCATTCTTAGAAAAGGAAAAAGTTAACTAAGGAAAGAAAAACCCTTAATGAGGTTAATTGACACAGTGACTTCTTATAAGGATGGATTTAAGGACAACAGAGATGATGAGGATGGCAAAGAATCTGTAGGAATCTATTGTATGTTGTGGTGTTAGCCTAAAAGTTGGCTTTTTCTTTTTAGCCATTATATGGTCACTCTGATCTCTAGTTTGTAGACATATGGTCTTGCAAATCATTAACAGGTGTGGGACTAGGATAAGAGAAAGAGTACTTCCCACACCAGGCAGCAAGACTTGAGGCGAGCAAGACTTGTGGCAGCATGACTTGAGGGAGACTGTGTGATCTGAGGCTACTTGCATTTGTGATGGCCACAATTAAAGGGTTTTTCTGTTCTTGCTGAATACTTGAAGGAGTAACTGACTTATAACTACTCTGAGGCAAACCTTGCTGAATGATTTGAATTTGACTGCTGAGCTGAAACCAAAGCCTAGACTAATTGAGAAATTGTGCCTTGGGACTTTGGGCTATAACTTGGATTTGCATTGATATTCTTTGCCTCCCCCACTCTCCGACTGCATTCTCTACTAAACCCCATAGTTCATACCATAACTGGGAATCTGTGAGTAAGCAACAAATAAACAAATCTCTTGCTGCTGCTATGTCTCTAAAGGCACCATGGGTTAGGCTACAGTCTTTGTCTGCTTTCTGTTCTGGGGCATTGAAGGGCTGTGTATTCTTGCTCCCTCTGGCCATTTCAGAGAGACATTCACAGCCCTGTGCTCCATTTGCCAGTTTCCACTTTTTAGAAATACATAGATTCAGTATGAGTTGGAGCTCACCAGTACTGACTCAACACTGTTACTTCTGAGGTAGAATGTCAGTTAATTAAAACAAGACAATGCCAAGATTTGAGTATCATTTCTTTAGTTTGAATGCATTTTTTATTATTTTCCCATGATGAATCATTTATGTGAGTGGTTTGCATCCACTCATAGGATATTTTCTTTCTAACCTATTTAAGTATGTCTTGGAAAATTGTATTTATCTATATCATAAAGCAATATTGTCCTCTTTTTTTTTTCTATTTCAGACCCTTGCACTTCTGAATCAGTTTAAATCTAAGCTCACTCAAGCAATTGCTGAAACTCCTGAAAATGACGTGTCTGAAACAGAAGTAGAAGATGATGAAGGATGGTAAGAGTTTCTTTCTATTAATTATTAGCAAGTAGGCTCAGAGCAGAGGTGCTGCTGGGATATTTCCACTACATCACCATCTTTTTTCATTCTTTTTCTTCACTTTTATCCTCATTATTTTATTTTGATGGAATCTTCCTTTTGGATAACCCTTTTACTTCATTTCACCCAGTAAACATTTATTTGGTGAATGGTATTTTTCTTGTATTGTACCAGCCAGCAAAGAGCACAGAAGAAACATATGAACATGATCTCTTCCCAGATAACCTTCTAATATTGTGGAAAAGAGAAGACATTGAACAGGGAACAACCTTAACTCACAGCCATCAAGTCGATTACCATTCATAGTGACTGAGATTATAAATCATGAATTTTTTAAATACTTTTATACTAATATTATAGAACTCAGTAGTCCATTTTATAGTCCTAGTAAGTTCCTTTTCCAGTTTCAGATCTACTGGGTCCTAGCAATGTATACTTAAGTGCATTTCACTTTTTTCTTTTAATTATTTTGCAGCTTTTAAAGACACTGATAAGGGGTTGGGAGGATGAAAAACCTAATGGCATCTATGTATCTATATATCCTGTGCTTAGAACTTTTTAGTCTTTACTGACAGAATAAGAAGAAAAAAGGGGGGGGGTAAGAAAAAGAAGAATTAGGATTGTGACTTTCCTTATCACACTTCTCTGTCCTCAAGTTGACTTCACTTGCAGTATATTAAGCCTCCCCACACCTAACCGCCTCCACCTCCCACTCTACCTTGGCTCAGGCACATTGTTGCAAATAAGCCAGTGCATCACCCCCCACATATGACTCACCCTCTGGATCCTCTGAACCATCACATGTGCCATTACTCCAACCCAGAATCATAGCCTCACTCCTCTGTGCCAAACAGCATCTCTCCCCTATTTCAAAACTCTGTTCAACACTCCCATTCTCCAGGAAACTAGTCAGCAAGATTTGTTGAGCACCCACAAATCTAGAGGGTGGAGGAAAGAGGGATGGAACACACATTTTAAAAGACATAAAAACACATGCAAAGAAAACAGTTAAACAAGTAAGACTCTGCAACTGTACATAACTGTAATTGAAAAGATTGAGGGGAGGATGACTTAAATGGATTGAATTCTACCTAAGCTTAGTCCCCCAAAGTGCTGGTATAGTTCTTCATTTATTTATAGTTTCTGAATAATCTGGATTACATGTGCCAGTTGTCTTAAAATCCTAGGTTTTTAAAAAGATTTCTAATATATTTTTGTTTATACTTAAATTCAGAGTTCACTGAAGGCAGAAGCTGGTTTCTGCCATAGTTCTGGGCCAAAGGCAAAGGCTCAGTAAATGTTGATTGACCCTTTGAGATAAATACTCATTGCACTGAAGAACTTTCTAAAGTTTTTTATAGACTGCACAGGTTTTAGTTTTGGGATTTTTAAATATCTCAAAATATCTTTCAAATGTTTTGGCTGCAGTCATCATGAAAAAAAATAATCTTTTGCCAAGTTGTCTTCCTCTTATTTTTTAATCCATTTGTATTTTTAAAGGAAATATGATCCATGTGTTTCTGATTCATTTACATTTAACTCGTCATTTCTAAAAGCAGTTTTTATGCCCAATAGTTTTTAGCCTTTTTATAAGCTATAAGTCCTTAATTTATTGAACAAGAATATCACCAACAAATTTAAACTCCCGAAGTTTCATTTTAAATTCATAAGCCAAAAGATTCAAATTTATTTTTAAGTTGTAAAGACCATTTAACTTCTCAAGATTCTTCCTACCCCTCTGATTAGTAATCTCTCATTCTGAATCTTCTTTAGCTTTAAGAATATCAAATACATGCCTTTAAAATTGGCATTCTTTTTAAATGTTATTTTACAGTACAATAAATGTGTGATTTCCCCCCTAGCATCCTTATCAGATAGTTGAAAAAAGAGGGAAAGGGGAACATCAGAGAAAAAACTTTACCAAGAAGGTAAAAAAATCACTGGCCAGTGTTACTGGCCAGTTCTCCATAGGGGAAGCAAAGAAAGTAGTCAAAGAAGGGGCAAAATTAAAGGAACTGTTAGCAGATATTAGTGGATCCCTTTTTTCCTTCAATTGCATTTTTCAAAAGAGAGAATCAAAGCCATTCGTTTGCAGAACTTTTTTTATTGTTTTATCTAACATTTAATAAAAATACCTTCAACGCCCAAACCCATATGTAGAAGCATATAGAATGTATGATATCCCTCTATTTATTGCCCTTTTATTGCCATATAGATCACTGACTGTTTGTAACCTGATAAGGAGAGGCGTCATTTCTCATAAATAAACCAGTTCAGCTTTATCAAGTCTCTGGTGATTGAAGTCCTCTCTCAGAAAGAAAAAGAAGTCTAGTATTAAAAAAGAATTACAACAAATATTGAGTGCATGGCATGTGCATGTGTGTTATGCATAAATTACATGGTTCCCAGACTATTTTGTAGGTCACGGTTGCCGCTTTTCTAAGAAGTGAGAGTCAGCCAGTGTGCTGTACTGCACTGTCAAGGTCTGTTATCTGAGGTAAAATGATTGTTTCTAAGACATTTTTATGTGTCCACATGAGTGGCCACACATTGGGGGATCATTTTCATTCTCTGTCAAGATAGAAACCATTACCAATTTGTTATGTTTTCTTTTCCTTGGCAAACTGTTCTAGTCGCATTTTTGGCTGAGCTGCTGTATTGGCATGGTGCACAACAGACATTTGGGTACTATTCAGCAGCGTTCTACTTTTCATGAAAAAAAGTGAGAGGAGGAGGAGAGAAAGAAAAGAAATATGATTCTATTGTAAACAGTGTATATAGTGTTTGATAATTATTCCCAGATTTCACTGTCTCACAAGGCATTTAAAGAAGTGTTACAAGTAGATCTAAGCTGAAATGCATGATAGAAGTTTTTTTGCTCAAAATTTCTAAGATTCTTCCCTTGTTGGGATATACATGTGCAATATTTGGTGGCAGTGATGGGCACCAGATTCCAGGTTAGCTGCTAAAAGTAGCCTCTTTTCCACAGCATCACAGATTTGTGTAACTGTATGAGTTTTCTTTAAGCATGGATTTTATAAAACCAATTAGACACATGGTAAGAGGCATCAGCCAAAGATTCTCATGACCATGTGGATAATGTCCATATGCCAGTTTGGGCTTGGTTAGATAAAGCTTGGTAAACTCCCAGAAAAGTTTTGAAGTTGTGTCTGACAAGGCAGTGGAGACTTCTAAAAAAGAAAGCCACCTGCCCCTTATGCAACCAAAAAACCCGTTTCCAGAAAAGGGGGGGAGGCAACAGACTGTGATCTTGCAGACGTTAACCATTCATTACTATGTTCCACTGAGAATTTCTTTTCAGATTTCTAGATCTATGATTAGTATCACAACAAATATACATGATAAGATAATAACCAATATAATGATCATTCGGTTTATTCTCCTCTCACTCTCCTCTCTCCTCTTTACTAGTTTTTTCCCCCATATTGTTGCTGTTGTTAAGAGTTGTCAAGTATGACTCATAGCAACCCTATGAACAATGCATCTGAACCTTGTCCTATCCTGTGCCATCTCTGACATACTTAAGTCTTTGGCTGTGGTCACAGTGTCAAATCAATTTTATTGAGAGTCTTCCTCTCTTTCACTGATCCTCTACCTTTCAAAGCCTTTTTTTTTGTTGGTCCAAATACCAATCCTTCCTAACAACATGCTGAAAATATAAGAGTTTCCATCCTTGCCTGTAAGGAACTAACTACCCTGGTAGCACTTTCTTCACATTTGTTTGCTCTTTTAGCAGTCCATGAGATATTCAGTACTGTTCTCCAACACCACAACTCAAAGGCATCAATTCTTCCTCTGTCATCCTTATTCGCTGTCCAACTTTCTGATGCATAGCAAGTGATAGAAAAGACCGTGATTTGAATCAAGTGCACCTAAATAATCATTGCTCCTTAGCACAGTGTACAATGTTTTTCTGTAAGAATCAGAAAAAGACTAGTAACTGAATGATAACACAAATTAAATATTATAATAATTATTTTCATATACCAAAGATACTGTTTGTAGAAAAATTAGAATATCAATCACCAAAAAGGTAAATAAAAATTATCTCTAATCTCATGCTTAAATATAATACTATTGATTTATACTTACACTCTTCTAAATATTTCTATATGCATATAATTTTTTTTCTCTTTAGAAAGAATGAAATGAATTTTATTTTATTTTTTGTGGATTTTTTTTAGCAGTTGGTCTTTTATTTGCATTTTTTTTCCAAAAAAAATCGTTTTCATGAACTTTTACAGAAATTTTGGATTTGCATACATTCGATGTTGCATTTTTCTCCCTGCCCACCGCTCCCCCAGTTCGCTCTTCTCTTTGACAAGTAAAAGAAAAATTATTTCATTGGTATAGAATCCCCCCTCTCCAGCCCCAAGTACACTGCACTATGCAACCTTCATTCTGAACTTTTGTCATAACCATAATTATAATACCCAAACATATATCACTTTCAAACAGTTCTCTCCCTCATCTGTTTCAATGCAGTAACATCATTTATCCAATTTATCTCAGTCTTACTCCAACCCTGATGTCAGTCCTGTTCTACAATAATGGCACCATGCAGCACCTGTCCTTTTGTGACTGAGATATATATTTTTAAACAAAAATTGTTTCATGTAATAAATGAATGAATTAATTAAAAACTAATTTCTTTATAAATTTTCATGCAAATCACAATAAAATGAAACAAAAAGCCAAGAGCCATTTATGGAACAGAATCTCAGTTACCCATATGGAAGTTCAAGTAGATGCTGAAGAAAAACTAAAGTCCACAAGACCCAAAGTATAACCTTGTATATATCCTCCCTGGATTTAGAGACTATCTCAAAGGTCAGTTTGATACATTGAACATCAATGACCAAAGATCAATAAGTTGTGGGATAACGCCAAGGACAGTGTAATCATACAGAAGAAAGCAAAAAGAGGGAAAAAACAGT